TCTTTTGTAACAATATAATATAATTATATTTAGTAAGAAAAAAAGGAAGAAAGTATGTTCAAGCCTTAAATACAAAAATTATACTTAATTTTTTTTATATAAATTGAAACAGGAATAAAATACCTAATTACTGAAATGTGTTAATATAATGGAAAAAGGAATAATCTATTTTCTATAGTTTATTATCCAGTATTTTGTTCAGTAACTTTATTATCATGGTTACTTATAGAAAAAGCGTAATTTGTTCAAGCGTATGAAATTTTCTGAAAACATAAAAGCTATGATGTATATGTAATTTATCAAGATGTGGCATTTCCTTCACGTATTTTCCATCACGTGTATCATTCAGTCAATATAATAACAAAAATAGCTAGAAAATTTTCCTATTTTATGTCGAAAATATTTTTGTAATATTGAATAGTGAAAATAAGAAAAAACAACGAGTGAAGCTTGAAAAAATCGCCTTCAGAACATTCAGGTACAATTCGGCTAAATACAGACGCCTTGTAAAAAAAAAAATAATAAAAAAAAAAAGATAAGTCATCTTTCTCAATGTGCTGTGTATATTAATGAAAAAATTAATAATCAATGCGTTTTTAGGATAAATACAATTTGTGAATGTAATACTATTTGTTCATGCAATTACTTCACAAGAGGAGATATGTATAGGATAAAAAACATGAAGACCCATGGTGAATAAAGTATTTCCTAGTTAAAGAAAAAGTCTCACTATAACATGACAGAAAAAACATTAATATTTTATTTTTAATTGTTCAAATAAAATAACGATTTTTTTTTTAACATTCCGTTTTTTAATATAAAATAGTTGCATACCATTGCATTTGATTCTTTTTATTTTTTAATAAATGTTAATGCGTTGCTAATTATTAAGTATACCAAACTAACTTAAATATAATATTTTTATCTTATTAAGTAAAACAAAATTGAAATTCAACGTATTTGTTTTAATGAAAAATACAAGTTTTTTATAATTATGTAATACTTGTAATTTGATATGTAAATATAGAATAACTTAATTTTTGTCAAATAGACGATATATTTTGTTTAAAATCACTTTATAGATAAAGTGATTATAAAGTATTCCTTGTAAAAAATTATATTAAAAATAATTACGTTGTTGAAATTATAAATACTGAATAATTTAATCTGGAGTTTTCGAAATCGATTCGAAAAATAATATGCACAACTTACGTTTATATGTAATAACAGATTTATGTATGCATAAATAAATGCATGTTAGCATACGGATGCGTGTAGAAAATCGAAGAAACGAATGCCGATATCATGTATGCATTCATCGTTACTGTAATAATAATATTCTACTACTACACTGTTGTCTGTTATGTGTTCTTACAAAGAAAAAAATTGAAAAGCATTTGTCAAAAAATTAAATTAAATACCAACTGTATTATTTAAGTTATTATTTTACATTCATCGTTGTAAATATTTTAATTGACTTTTGTTAGAAATACATTTTTCTTTACCTAAAAAATCATCGTAATTTTCATCATAATACCTTTTGTATTAGTTTTTCTTTCTTAAAGTGCATCATTTTATTTTATATTTTATATTGGCTATTATTATGTGGAAAAAATTTAATAATTTAAGAAATAAGTCAAATACAAAAAATGTTCATAAAAGTATGTTTGATATTGTTACGATTAACGATTAAAATTCAAAGTAAAAAATTATAAATATTTTTCTTTATTTCTATTATTACAATTATAATCATAATTCTAATTTATTTTTAAATTATTAATAAGACATGTTATCTTTACGAGTAAGTCAATATAATCCTTTTAATACAACTAACTTATACATATTTTACAAATAAAATTTTTTTCATTTCAAATTTAATTAAAAATTCTTTGATTATCATAATGGCAAATTAAAATTAAAAATTAGAAATTCTAACTCATTAATTTTCAAAATCGATGTAAATCACTTTTAAATTTTTATCACGATAGTATTTTGTTTAAAAAATTATATGACAAGAATAATAAATACAATTTGTTTTTGAAAAGCCTTAAAGTGATAATTATTATATAATAATTTTATCTGTTAAATATTTATTTTCTAAAAAGTAAATTTAGAAACCTAAATTTGAAATTTATGTTATCTAAGGAATTTAAAAATAAATTAAAAATAAAAATATAGACAAGTACATATTATAAATTGTAATGTTATGAAAGTGATGTCAGTTAATATTTTACTATAATTTAATTTCTATAATAACAGCTTACGTATAATATTAATAGAGAAAATTTTTAACTTGTTTTGTTGAATAAATTCTTACTCAAATTAGCTATAGGCATTAATTTCATTACTTACTTTAATTAATTATTATAGCAATAAAATTACGATAAAAATATCATGATAAATACAAACAATAATTTTTTAAATCTATAAAAACTTGTAATTCATATAAACTATTAAAGGTAAATTTTATCCATTATGACGTAGTAATTCAATTTATAAATATTTTTTTAATTCAACCTTTCAACGTGGTTATCTACTTTATGCAATTATAAATTATATAAATTAATTCATACTTACATATATATTTTGTAGATTTTAAGTGAATTAACTTCATAACTTTTTGTTTCTACTACTTATGAATTAAAGAGAAAACAAAGTTAAAATATAAAATATCCATTCTAAATTTTTAATAATTTCATTAAATAGTGGCAAATATCGTATAATATTATATCTTTAAAATATTATAATTCAAAGACATTATTCATTATTATACACTTAATATTATTATACTTCAAATTTAATAGAAACTGTGTTTTATTTTATATTGACTTATAAATATATAATACAAATAGAGAATTAGCTATAAAAATAATCACAAGTTAGATTTTTCATTAGTTCCCAAAAGTAATTCTAGATATAACAATTTTGAGAAATTTATTGCAAAATTATGTTTTTATTAGTTTAAAATATGTGAAAGAATCTGTAAAGAATAAAAGGATTGAATAATCTCTTTTAAAATTCTAAATTCAAAACATAAAAAATACTCTTAAGGTAATAAATTATTGCTTGTAAATTTAAAGAATTTCTTAATAAAATGATAAATGTTTAACAGATATACTTAGAATATGTTTAAATAATTTTTGTATGGAATAAACTTTTCTATTTATATGTTTAATTATTCAAAAAAAATAAACAAATTTTAATATTTATACCTATTATAAATAACGTATGTACAAAATGAAAATAGTATTTTACATAACAATATTTTAAAATATTTATTTTAAAATTAACTAATAAAAATAATTATATCGCTTATTTTATAATTTTTATAATATGAATATTATTATTTATTATTTTTATTTATTATTCTAAAAAAATTGAAATTTAAAAAATGTCTTAATAGACACGATTTTTTCTTTTATTATAATAATAATACTTTCACCTGTAACTTTATATAGTATACATTGTTTGTAATGAGACAACAAAATTTACTCTATTTGAATTTCATTCTTTAAATTATCAATAATCGGTAAAATTATTAATAACAAAAGAATATACAATATTATTTATTGTTATATATATATATATATATATATATATAGCGTTCTTATTATTCTGTACTAAAATATAGTTTCTCAAAAATCTTAAAGAATAAAACCCTTTTTTACTCAAATCTCGAATACTTTAAATGCAGAATTGTTAATAAAGTTTTTTCTCACTAAAATTTATTATAGAATTATCTAATTTCTTTAAAAAAAATTGATTCTATTCTCATTTATTTTTACTTTTATTGAAAAAATATTATGTCTCAATTATTATTATTCGTACTTATAATTTTATAAATTTTTTTAAGAAATAATTGTATTCTACTTCTTACGCATTGTAATTGTCATAAAGCTGTGTAAATCATTAATCATTTTATCTAGAATAAAACAAAAGTATGATGAATATACTAAATAAAACGAAAATATCATTAATTTTTTATCCTATATGAATTTTGTTTAAGATTTAAAATACATATAAAAACAAAAAAGCAAAAGAGAATTTTTTAATTTAGCCAACATTTATTAAAATCGAATAATTTCAATGTGCGAAGTTAAAATGTATTTGAATTAAGAAAATCTTATTAATATTATATTTTAAATTTAAAAATTCGAAATTTGTATATAAAGTAGTTGCTTAAATGTATACGATCTTATTAATAAGGGGATTACAAATTATCGTTCATTTAAAATAAAATCAAAGAAATGATAATTCATCCTTATTAATTTTAAAAAAATTACTAAAAATTAGAAAACTTATAAATTTATTGCGTGAATTTTGTATTACTGCTTTAAATTACAGATAATATTAATACACTTGATATAAAAATAAAAAAATATTAATAAAATTATATTGAAAACAGAAATTATACAGTTTTCAATATAAATTTATAGTAATACAAATTATAATTAACGAAAAATTATTTTATTTGATATTATAATTAATAAATAACAGTTTGTAGAAATATTTATTTGATTTTCTAAATTATATTAGACATTACGTATTTTAATATAACATTATTATCGTAACGTATTACACAACAATGTAAACAAATTTATATTATAAAATCTACATAGATTTAAAAAATAAAACAAAACGAAACTATTTAATTATTTAAGTTTAAATAAATAAGGTACATATTATTTTTATTGTTAAAATATCGATAATAATTATAATTTAAAATACTATAGAGTACTATAAAAGTAGTAAACTAGTTTTAGGAACATCTAAAATTATTTAAAACGTTTAATACAAAAATTTTCTTATTTTATAATATAGACTGAAAAAATGAAAATGCCAAATTACAAAAATATTTATTCATTTATAACAGATGATCAATACATTGTTATTATAATGATTACTACACTTACAAGTTATGTCGATTTTCAATTAAAAGTTGTAAATTAACTGTACTTAATTTATTCAAAGAAATAACCATTTTCTTATGCACATAATAATTTAATATAAAAAAATGACAAGAAAATATTATTATGATTCTATTCTAAAAAATCAAATTAATGATATCTTTCGAAACACATACAAGCTTATTTTGTAAATTTGGCTCTAAACCGTCTGACACCCTTTTTAAAGTACTTAGTACGTATTCGGATTCTAGCAAAATATTAACTAATTGTGCACGCTCATCAGCAACAGATTTTTTTAGTAAAGTACCTAGTCCAACAAAAATTCTAAATATCGCTTCAGCTTCCTTGAAGAATGTAAAGCAATTACAAATAGTATTCAAGACTTGAGTCTTTCCTGTTACATCATTTCTTTTGGTAAGAGACACCACTAAATTTAAAATGTACGTTGATACTGCAATCTGATAAAACAAACAACAAATTATTTATTCACTTTTGTATAATAGTAAATTGAATCATAATTTTAAATTTAGTTGTAAGTCACATTTCTTTGGACTTTGAAAGTGAAAATATAATAAAAAAATTGATTTCTTATTTTATATTTACTTGAGTATTTTTGTTGGCAGGTGAGGTTAAATCGGGAATAAATTTTAATAATTCGTTTTTATATCGAAGACACAGTCTTTCTCCTACATCATGAACAAACATATTTGCGAATAGCCGAAATGTAAGCATTTGATTTGCTGCAATTGCATCTTTACTTAAATGCCTTTCAAGTAAGTGAAAGAATTCGTCTGTACAAAGTTTATCAGTTACAGTTGCTTGCAAAACTGCCAAACGTGCAATATCAAGAATGGGAAAAACAAATGAGTCAGGCCACCTTAAAAGTGTCATTAAAGTGTTGATTGTTTCAGCTTCTATTATTTCTTGATTTTCATTAAGAGCAAGCTTTATCACAGATTCTAATTTGTCTTCTAATACACTTTGGCCTTCACTTTGTTGTTTTAAGTTAAATTCTTTAAGTTTTTCTAAAAACAGAATATAATTCAAAATCAATGATCTGAATTATAAAAGCAAAATCTTATACTTGAAGAAAATATGATAATTCAAATTTTAAAAGCGTATTAAATAATATAATACCATGAATAGCGGTTACATTTGCTTGTTCCAATTTTAAAAATGTTGTTAATGGTATGTATGTGGACGGATTTAAAGAAGCACTTAATGGTTTAACCATTGATGAGTCTACTGGTTGATGAACTGTTTGTGCTAGTGAATTTGGTATGTGTCGACTGGTTCCGGTATATGGATCATCATATTGTTTGCTATTTACAACTGGGGCTACCTTTGAATTTTTTATTATAAAATTTGCAACCTGAAATTCATTAAATTATTCAACAAAAAAATGAAGAATTTAAAAGTAAATTGTTCATAAAATAAAAATTAATTTGAATATACATTTGATAGAATATTTAATAGCTTATAATTTTTACTTTATTTTAATAATCATTTCAACATAACAAAACGCACTTGTTCAAGATATAATTGACTGAGGCTATTATCATCGATAAATTTTTGAGCGACAAGCCAAGGATCTTGTCCATTATTATAGGGTAATTTTAGTGGAGGAATTCCATCTTGTATGTCAACAGAGAAAATATAATCATATTCAATTCCATTGAATAATTGCTTTCCAGAATTACTGCTATTGCCACCCATTACATCACCAACAAGATTCCACTTTAGTTCTTTTTGAGACCAACTATAAGCTTTTACATTAGTATCTTCTTTAACTAATTTAATCTCACCATCTTTCTTGCCAGGCTGATGTAGTGAACTTGAATCTGGTAAACTTTTCAATTAAACATTAAAAATCTCATTATTTTCTAGATTATGGGGTTGCTATTTACCGAGAATCCAAACTTACTCATTTGTTTTTAAATCGCCAAAATCTTGTGTCTGTTCGGTATATGCAACACTTTCCTCAAACTTTTGAATAGTCTCAGAATCTGCGTACCTTTTTGAATCAGTTGTAAATATTCTAAGAATTCCATCCGAAGATCCACATGCAATATCTTCATTAGGCAACAATTTGACGCACCAAACTGATTGTGCAGGGAGTGTAATAGTTTGATCTATTTCGCCTTTTAACCAAACTCTAATTGTTTTATCTTCCCCAGATGACACTACTAAATTTCCACCATAAAGAGCTGACATACTATAAATGTAGTTTGAGTGTCCATAAAAATCACCTAAGCAATCTCCAGTCGCTGCAATCCATCGTTTAATTATAGCATCATTGGCACACGTTAAAAATTCATTTTCATTAATAACAGCAATATCTCTAACACAATCTGTATGACCTTTAAGTTTATGCACAATAACTCCATTTCTTAAATATACGTTTACAATTTTATCTGCAGCTCCTGTTACTATATAACCATTTGCTAAATCTGATACGCACCAAACAGCTGCTGCATGACCTGCAAATGTAATTTGTGGGTTTTCTAAATTATTTAAATTCCACAATTTTGCTGTAACATCCCATGAACTACTGAGAAAAGATTCTTTATCAAAATTGCTAGTTTGTAATGCACATACTGTATTTTCATGCGCTTTGATTTTGTGAACAGGCTCTGTTTCTCCAGGATTATAAATAAAAATATGACTATCATTACTTCCAGTTATGATACAGCCTTTTGGGTACTTATGATTTGGATTAATAATACACACTGAACTAACAAAATTACTGTGACCCTTCATTACTACATTTTGTATATAATTTCCTCTGTTCCATCATTTCAATCATGAAATAAAAATTAAAATGAATATTTAATTAATGAAAAATATATTTCAATATCATTCTCATACACATTTTTGTAATTATAATTAAATTATTCTACCTTCTATTAAATCATATAATCTGGCTTATTAATAATCTGTATACTTTATTACATTTAATACATGTTCTCTTACATTACACTTATTTGTAACTCATATTAATAGATATAAAAAGAGATTGTTTAAGCAATTGTACAAATTCATGAAAAAATTTATTTTCATTTTAATTCAATCAATGATAAAATAATGTTGTATACAAAAAATTATTAAATAATGAAAATTAAAATTAATAGGAAACAAATAAATTTATAAAATCATTGCAATAAACTGTTGGGAATAAATAAAAAGCAAAATTTCTTTTATAAAAGATTTGTTAATCATGATATTTTTCAAAATAGACAGTAGCTTACCTTTTTCTTTCTGTCATTTATACCATTTTATATAATGATAATACGCAATAAGCTATGACAATACAGTGCATAAATAACGTATAAATAATTGGCAAGGTTAAATTATAAGAACTAAGATGTAAGGTGTAAATTTAAAGACATACGTGATAACAACTTTTAAATACAATAATCATTAATTATAATTTGACTTATTGTAAAACTTAGAATGTCAGATTTCTTTTGGAAAAGGCAACTGTTTTATTCACTTATTCATTAATTTTGTATTTATTTATACCAGAGACTCGTTAAAAATGATTATATATGCTACTTATAGTTCGTAATATAAATCGTCTATAAAAGAAAAAAAAGAAAAAAAAGAAAAAAGAGAGAAAAAAACGATTGTACAGAATACTAAAATAAAAGTATATTATAACACAAAGAATATCGAAAAACAAAATATGCTCGAAAAAATCATAACAATAGTAAACCTACTCTTCAAACCTCCAGAAGATACCGGTTTTATCTCTAGAGGCCGATGCAAGACTCCCATCGGCTGCAACAGCCAAATCTCTAACATCTCCAGTGTGTCCATATAGTTCACGACTCAATTTATATAAAGATCGCGCCATGTTTTTACCCTTCGGCCTTTATTGTTCTCGAAATAAAATTCTCTGATCACTTCGTTGAGGTTGTATGAAAGAAAGGTTGCTACGAAAAGAATTAAAAAGTATAATCGGCTATTAATTTAGTCGTCCCAACCGGTAATTGTGCTGGACGAAACACAAATCTGAAGCATACAGGCGTTCTGCGCTTCAGTCTTCCCACGATCAATTCTGTATATCACGTTTATATTCTTGATTTTGCGCACAATTGGCCTTGTACTGGTTGGCTCTCATATGCGCGCGAATTTAGATGTCATTAAGATTATATGATAAACTTGAAATTAGGATATCATTCGACAATCTATTGTAAAATTGACAATCTTTTTTTGGAAAAAAAATGATAATTTCTTTTCTCCATTATTTACTTGTATTAGTTGAATGAGTCAAGAACAATAAGAATGTCTTTTAAAAAGAGATTCAAATATTGAACATTGAATTATTATAAAGTGAAGTTAAATTCTAGAATTTTAAATGTATTTGCAAGAATTGTCTTTACACAATTAGGAACTGTAGCTAAATGCCACATTTATGTCTCATATGAGTGTAATTACTTAATATTCTTTGGAAATAATAGAATGTAACATTTACGGCAACTACGATCGTAATTTAGAATTAAAAATTATAATTTTTTTTCCAATTTTTAATTGAACACGATTAATTATGGAGCGGTTGATATTTTCAAGATAATTATTACACTTTAACTTGTATGACATTATGAATAAAAAAATTATATATATATTTGAAGAATAAAGCTACAAAACGAAAAAATGTTCAAATACCGTTACCTCATGCCTGTGACAAAAACTTAGTAAAATTAGTATTAAAAATATACTGATTCCATTACATTTTTAATATCATTAAGCACGTTTATGACACAATTAATCAATAATAATCTAAACAGTTGTTATTGTGGAAATTGTATCCAAAAATAATAATAAAAATTTCAATGTGATAATTTGTAATATGATATCCAGAAAATTAATTATAGTACTAAATTAATATTTGAATTAATGACGATAAATATTATGGACTAATGAAACAGTATTTGTTTTAAATTTATTTACGATTAATTTTTTTACATATTTTTTGTTTATTGCTTAAGCTTTAAAACTAAATTCGAATCACAACTTTTATTTTTTCAAATATTATTTTCTATTCAAATTTTAGCGGGGTAATTAGATGCCTAGTCAAACTGTTCAAAATGTTCAAACTGTAAAGTAAATAGTACCAATTCAAACAAACTTTTAACAAATCATTAATTATTCATTTTTACTAAGAAGCAAATTAAGCGCATTCATAATTCTGAAATTATAAATAATTAGATATTTGGTAGTTTTTACATTACTTTAATTGTAAATTTTTTAAGTTTTAATAATATTATTAAATTTCTTGTATTAATTACAATTATTGTGATGAATTATTGTATAATTAAAATGCAGTGATACACATACCCCATAATTTAGTATACTTAAATTAATAATAATGTAAAATTAATTATCTTTATAATAGATTTAAAATAACCTTGTCGGAATTTTAAAAATTCAACATAATATAAATTGTGTTCAAATTATTAATAATATTAAGACGTTTTATAAATATTTATTAAAAATGCCTAATGATTCGAAACGCATAAACGGACCCGATGCAACGGTTCCATATAGTATTTATACTAATTTGAATTCAGAATCTTCAGAATTGTTAATAAAAAATCAACTTCAATTTCGAGTTGATAAAAGAAAACATAATGAGTTCAGAAAAATGTGTAAGTATGTTTAATTATATTAATTATTTTGCAATATTTTAAATAAAATGGTAATGCATCAGTTATTAGAATTGGAGTTGTGAGCCAAGCAAAAGGTTCGGCTTATGTTGAAATGGGCCAAACCAGAGTTATATGTTCTGTTTTTGATCCAAGAGAAATTCCAAATAAAGCACAATATAGTACACAAGGAGAGTTATTCTGTGAATTTAAATTTGCCCCTTTTGCTTCATGTAAAAGGAAAGGTCACCAACAAGATGCTGAAGAAAAAGAATACAGTCTTATCATGCAAAGAGCCTTAGAACCAGCTGTTTGTAGAGTAATATAATGATTACTATATATATATTATTATCTAATTAAAAGTGACAATATATCAAAATTAAAATAAAATTTATATTTTAGCATGAGTTCCCAAATTTTCAAGTAGATATTTATGCCTTAGTATTAGACAATGATGGATCAGCCTTAAGCACTGCAATTATGGCTGCAAGCCTAGCATTGGCAAATGCAAGTGTGCCGATGTTTGGAATTGTAACTGCAGTAACTGTTGTAAATTATTAGATTATTTAAAATTTATTTTCTAAATACATATAAATATTAAAAATGTTTTAATTTCTTTAGGTTATTTATGATGATTTATTTATAATAGATCCTACTTATAAAGAAGAGGCACTTTGCCTCAAAACTATTAAAAAATTAAAGCCAGTAAATCATGGAATAATAATGCAAGCAATGTTGTCACAACATGATCAAATATCAGAATTTTTTCTAACAGGAAGTATGGATATAAATTTTGTAAATAGTTCAATTGATATTTTGAGTAAAACAAGTAATGAAATTTATCCAGTACTACAAGAAGCTCTTAGAAAATCTATACTGAAGATGATAAAAAAGAAAAATCAACAAGAAAAATAATGTTATATATTCATTATAGTACAAATATATTTTTATTGATTCTTAATTAAATAAAATGTTTTTTTTATACACTTAAACATAAACAAACTACACATTAATCTTCTGGCTTTTCTGGTGGTGGACCACAGGGTTGTAACATTTTTTCCATAAGATTGAAACGAACTCGGGCTTTAGCTTCATTTTCGGCAATAGAAAAGAAATTTAACAGATCATAATGACCCATGTAAGAACTACAAGAGTCTCTATGTTGATTTACAAGCCATTCAAATTTAGTTGTGTCAGCATGACCAGTTCCAATGTATTTAGATTGAAGATGCTCCAACTGAGTGTGAATAGTATATCGCTCCCCCATTTTAAATACCTTTAAATACTATTAAAATATTATGAAATGTTTTAAATACCTTCAACTTTATTGTATTATTTAACAGTTCAACAAAATGTTATAACAATTAAGAGTACAACTTCTTTAAACAAAATGATATAATAATTTAAACTTTATTTGCAGTGAAGATAATGTTACAAATATTGAAAATAAAAGAAAATAGAAAAGATATTATGATAGCAAAGACAAATTAAAAATTAAATATAATACCTCAAAGATATGTTTTCTAAGTACAAATCTTTTTTCCTAATAATACTGTGAAACTATTCATAAGAACGCCTTCGTATTAACTTTCACGTTAAACATAACCTCCGAATAATTTCGTATTTATATACATTACTTGCCCGGCAAAATTGAATTAAGTAATAAAATAAAATTAGTAAAAAATAAAGATTGACCATGAACTAACTCAATGTGGTCCTAATATGAAAATATTTTATAACTATAATAATAAATAACTCGAGTAGTTATTTATCTTACAAAGTTCAGTATATCAACAGTTTAATATCTCTTACAAAGTATTTTGATTGCTTAAATAATTCTGATAATAATTCATTAATAAAGTTTTCTTTATGTACTAAAAGCAGCATTGAAGGATCTATTGAGATTTACAAACCTTGAATTAGATAAAAAATATCTCCTTTTTAAGACTACTGGATTTAAAATTTTATAATACATAAAATTAAATTATAATACTAATAAAATTTGGTAAACAAATTTTAAATATAAATTTTACATAGTTTTATTTAATTGTTTTAAAATTATATGAACAACATATTCCGTACAAAATTTTCATTATACTTACTTTTATATTGATTTATATCATTATTTATTTCGAAAATATTTTTAATGTCTTTTTTATTAATTGCTTTACATATTGAATATATTACTTAAAACTAGTGTTACAGAAAATGATATTAATAATTACGAAAATGATTTATTTATTATTCCTTTTCGAATCTTTTTTTTCTCTTTTTTAGTTTATCAATTAATTTCAACGTAATTTTTAAATGTCATTATATAATGTAATATATTAGTTAAATCTAATGTTCTTATTGAAAACTGTTTAAAAAATTTATATGTAGATGTTTCATATGTAATCTATAATTATAAAAAAAAAATCTAATCTAAAATATTATAAAGAATTATAAATTGAAATTTATTTATATTTAAATTAAATAAAGTCACCGATTTTTTAAAATGATATTTCCGAAAGGACAGCTTACAATCAATATCACTCTTATTTTACAAATATTTTAAAAATGTAACATTTTTATTTGGAGAATGACATTTTACATGTCAATATTGGATTACGTCTATCACTTCAGAGATTTATCAAATGGAGAATATCCATTAGGTAGGTGGATGCCCACATGTACAATACGAAACACCAATAAAATTATCCCTAATCGCCCGTTGCGTATGAAAAATAATCGTCTTGTTACTGCGCATGCGAGATAGTCACATCTCATCTAAGCTAATATACGAAAACTCTGTAGTCCAAATTCCAAAAGTTTCAAGCAAGACTGAAAAGTTTGAAACCTTCGAATTCATATTGCACGATATTCTTAAAATAGGAGATGCTGAAACATCTTTACTTAGAACAAGTTTTAAAGAATCACTTTAAAACTATTACACAATTAACAGTTGCTGATGAGCATCCTTTTTATCAATAAATATTATATTGAACACCACCATTATCAATTGATATAATACAATTTATAATTATATTCAGTGACAATTTAAAAATGCTTACAAGTTTCACATTCTAAGATTATCGATATAATAAAGGTAGAGGTTAGGAAACCAAATACTTTTATAAGTTATTTATAATAATATAAATATTTACAAATGGGTTCCAATAAAAGACACAAAACTGAAAAAAATCGAGAAATGAAGAAAAAACGTCATCGAAGCCGTTCACGTTCATATTCTGCAGAACGTGATAGAACAGAAAAACACAGACATCACAAGAAGCATAAGAAAAAAGATCGCAAGGACTATGATAGCGATGGTAAGTTGCCATTTTTAAGCTTAATCATCAAGATACCATGACTAATATTTTTAGTTTGTTAAGAAGTTTTCTTGCTCTGCAGTGGAGATCATCGTCAGTGCTCCACCACCGCCAAAGATCTCAAGGACATCGCAACTCTCAACACCGCCACCACCACCCGATATTTCAGCATTGGTGTGTGAAATTTATTATTTTCTATTCTATCAATATAATTTTCATTATATTTATAAATATTAATTTTTTATAATCCTATATATGACTAACATTATCTTATCAACTTTTAACAACACAACACTATATTAAAAGTAATTATTTACAGTTACATATTCATTTTTTAACAAATATTATATATACAACGTAACGTATAAATATATTAAATATTACTTTGATAATGAAAATACTAAGTAATTTGATTAAATTATTAATGTTTTGTCATTACAATATTTTGTTGAAAAAATTTTAAATAAATATTGAAAATGAATATTGGCACTTGTTATAAAATTTATTTAAAGTTATTTTTTCTTCATAAACATTTTGATAAGGCTGTATATACCCACATATATGCATATATGCATATATATGTGTATATATATAGAGAGAGAGAGAGAGAGAGGGAGAGGCATAGAACTAAATGAAAATGTATATACATTATAAGTAAGAGAAATTAACTTATATTTAATAAAATAAGTTATCTATTTTATTATCTGATAAATTAGAGTAAAGAAGATAAACATGCGAATCAAAATAAAGAAGATAGATCTAATAAGCAAAAAAAATCTCCAACTCCTCCAAAAAGTACGCAGTCACAAACATCACTTTCAATTGAAGAAACAAATAAACTCCGCGCCAAACTTGGATTAAAGCCTTTAGAAATAGATAGTGGTCCTAAAGAAGGTTCAGATATTATTAAAGATGACTTGGGAGAATTTCGTCATAAACCTGCTATTAATACGGCTGAAAAAGAACGAACGCAGAAAATGAAAGAAAAAATAAGTACAATGAAACAAAAACGACAAATTGAGCATTCACTAGCTGCTACAAAGACTCTTGGTGAAAGTGATTCAGATGATGATACACTTGCATGGGTTAAAAAGAATAGAAAAATTCAAGAAGAAAAAAAAAAAGCAGCTGAAAGAGTATATTATCAATTTACTTTTTGTAATAAAAAAAATTTGTTCATTTATTAACATAAAATTTCACATATTTCATAGGCAAAAATGTTAGATCAAATGGACGAAGAATTTGGTATAGGAAATTTAGTTAAGGAAGAAGTTCATAATGAAAGGAATAACGCATACACTGATAAAGATTTGAAAGGTCTTAAAGTGGAACATAATTTGGTATGCTTTTATATTTTTAAATAAAAGTAATTTATCTATAAAATTAAAAAATAATTCAAAACTGATTTTTATGTTCTGTAAAGATACTTGAACAGAATTTTAATTTATAACATTTAAAAATGTAGATTTAATTGGAGTAATTTGAAACTAATTTACTTAATATACATATATTTAATAATTTTCCATTATTTTTCATTATTTTTCATTAAATCTAAGTACCGTTTTCATTAATATTTAAAAAAACATACAGAAATGTAACATTGTAATTAAATTGAATTAAAATCAATATTTAACATAATATTAAAAATATTCTAAGATTCATACTCCAAAAATTTTGCAAGATAAACACTCTTAAGATACTATTTTATCTTACAATTGAGATATTGTACATTTACATTTAAATAAGTGTATTTAGTTCACTTAAAAATATGTATTTTATAACACATTCAGGATAAATTTCAAGAAGGAAGTTCTGTTATATTAACATTGAAAGATCAAGGAGTGCTAGCAGAAGAGGATGATGTTCTTATAAATGTTAACATGATCGACAATGAACGTTATAAAAAGAATGTTTTAATAAAATCTAAAAAACCAGGTTATGATGCATATGATGAATGCCACTATGACGAATATGGCATGCCATTAAATAATGTTTTAGAAAAATACGATGAAGAAATTGAGGGAGAAAAACGTCAGAGTTTTGCTATAGGTTTAGTTGATGTAAAAGCAATAAAAGAACAACAAGCTGCAATTATAAAAGGTCGTCTTGCTAATAAGCGCTTAGAAAGCTTAGAATTAGCAGAACCAAAATTAGCAAGTGAATATTATAATGAAGAAGAATTGGTTAAATTTAAAAAACCAAAGAAAAAAATTAGAAAAATTCGAAATAAAAAAATTTTAAAAGCTGATGATATTATTCCAGATAATGAGGATTATTTAAAAGATTTAGGAAGTAGAAGACGTCGTAAGAAAGAAGAATGCAAAACAGAAGAAACAAATGAAATTTTAGATAATGATGATTTAGAAGGTACTTAAATATTGTAATCAAATAGTGTAATATTTCAATGCTTTTAAAGTTGATCATAATTTTCTTTTATAGCTCCAAAGGAAGATCTTAGTGGTATTAAAATTGAAGAAGAAGATCATGATTTGGATAAAAAAATAAAACAAAAAGCTGAACGTTTAAAAGGACCGGTTTTATCTTTAAAACCTGAAAAAATTGCATTATCAATCAAAGAGGAAGTAGAGATGTCAACAGAAGTCAATACCAGTGGAAATATTGTATTAAATTCAACAGCAGAATTTTGTAGAACGCTTGGAGACATTCCAACTTATGGACAGGCTGGTAATCGAGATGAAAATAATCAAGAATTTATGGTAAACTTGGCCTTATATTTTTGTAAACAATTTCGACAAATAAAAAAGTGTACTAATAATCAAAACCCATAAAATGTTCTCATTTTAGGACTTTGAAATGGATGAAGTTAAACAAGAATATATAGATGATGATGATGATGATGAAATGAATGGACGAGGAGCTTGGAATACTGTCAAATTAGGTAAATAAATTTTGAGAAAATATAACATACATTTTAAATTAACTTTTAAGTATAAAATATTTATATTTTTAGACCAAGTTTTAATAGAACCAGCCGCCATGGAAGCTGCTATTTTAGATGCTGAACCATCGCTTGATCAAGGCGTTGGTGGAGCTTTAAGATTAGCCATGAGTAAAGGCTATCTTCAAAAAGAAGATTCAAATCGACCTTCAGCGTCTAGGTTTGCTCATCTTAAGGCACAAAATTATTCTATAGAAGATAAAACATATGGGTTTGCACTGTTTATTTTTATATATTTCTACAGAATTATTTTTGGCTTATAATTACTAAATGTCTCAATATTTCAGTGATGATGATAAATTTGGAAGAAGGGATAGATTTAATGGGCCCACTTCAGATTTTAAAGAAAAAGATGGTTTTAGACCTAATGTTAAATTAGAATATATTGATGATGATGGGCATGTACTAAATGCAAAAGAAGCTTTCAGATATCTTTCACATAAATTCCATGGTAAAGGTCCTGGAAAAAATAAAGTATGTGCATAAAATACATTTTATATTCATCAAAATAATTTGAAATTATCTTGTAACAATGAGAGCGTTTAATTTCATTTAATTACAACTTTCTTAATATTTACTGAATAGGTTGAAAAACGAATGAAGAAGGCAGAACAAGAAATTTTAATGAAAAGAATGTCCTCGACTGATACTCCACTGGGCACATTAACACTTTTGCAAGCAAAACAAAAAGAAACTCAATCACCTTTCATTGTGTTAAGTGGCAGTAAACAAATGCAAACGTAAGTATTTTATATTTATATAAAATGTAAAAATTTTAATAAATATTTTTGTTTTAGGGCTAGTATTTCGAAAACAAAGAATTAAAATTATGTATATATTTGAGATGTATATGAATATATATATACATGCATTTTTATATGTCAAATAGGTTATTTAATAAATATTAGATATAGACAATAGATTGTATTGAATATTGAAATTCAAAAGCAGCATATTTCAATGAATTTCATTTCAAATAATAAAATAATGAAAATTTTTAAATAAAATATTGTGATTTTGTCTATTAATTTATTGATTATTACAATAAATATTCAGGTTGTAAATTTATATATAAAAGCTAATAAATTCTCTTTACATATTTGTTTCGATTTTGCAATTTAAAGATTAATTTTATATGCTCACGTTTTCTGGCTTAAAGGCTTAAAAACTTATCTTAAATTTAAAACAAAATTGATACACAACAAAAAAACCATTATAAATGTATAAATATAATTATTTAATAAGAATAAACATTTACATTTTTTAAAAGTATGTTAAAATATTAAAAAGTTCTTTATAAAATTATTAAATCGCTAAATCTTTTTAAAAATATCGCTGAGTTATTAACAAAAATTATATTTAGAAAAGTAAATTAATGCAAGATATTTAATAATTTCATTAAAATTATATTAGAGCAATATTAGAACAAATTACAAACGTCTGAAACATTTAGAAAATTGTATACAAATATTTTTTATTTTCACTCAAGTTTATTAAATTATTTGTATTTAAAGATGAAAAGAATAATTTGTACATTTATATTATTTTCAAATAACTTTCCATTCTTATACAGATGAAATAATAATGATTAATAGTGAAAAAAAAAGAAAAATGTTCTTTACACATATTCCATTTATTGGTGGACACTACACAGTAGTTCTTGTCACAATTCTTCAAGTTGGAAAATGTGAAATGTAAAAAAAAAAAAGTAATTATAACTTGATAACTTTTAAATGCATTAAAAATAGTATTTGTTTAGATTTTGTCTAAAGAATTAAAAGATCGAATTTTTATATGTTTGGATCTTTCTTATTGAATCAAACGTTTGTCCAGTTGTAATTTAAAAATTTCGTAGGAAGAAAACGGAATCTTGGTATTTTGTTTAGCTTAATTGTCCACAATCAGTGATGATAATTTTCTTGGAAGTTTTACCACTTTGTGAACCAAAACTTTCGAGTTTCTTTACAACATCTAGACCTGAAAAAAATGTTAAATTTACAATTATATTTTATACATATATTTGAAAAATTAATATCCCGCACTTATAATAAAACAACTATAAATTACATTCAAATACAATATCTACAAACTAATATTAAAGTTATTGCTACAAAACAATTAAGAAAATAATTATTAAATTTTAAAAGAAAAAATCCTAGACAAACTATACAAATGGCAACAATAATTGTTAACAAAAACTTAAGAAACAAGTATCAAATTACATTGAAGTCATAATAAAAATTAAATTATTAAATATAATAATAAGGCATAAAAAATATATAAATATTGTACAAACCATCGATGACAGAGCCAAAGACAACGTGTTTGCCATCTAACCAAGTAGTTTTGATTGTCGTAATAAAGAATTGTGACCCATTGGTATTAGGGCCAGCATTAGCCATAGACATAATGCCAGGGCCAGTGTGCTTAAGGTCAAAGTTTTCATCATGGAATTTTATACCATAAATGGACTTGCCACCAGTACCATTGTGATTGCTAAAATCACCGCCCTGACACATGAAATTGGGAATGACCCGATGAAAACTGCTACCTTTATACCCAAAGCCTTTTTCACCAGTACAAAGGGCACGGAAATTTTCCGCTGTTTTGGGTACAACATCAGAGCGCAACTCCATAACAATGCGACCCACCTGCTGACCATCAGCACTCATATCAAAATAAACTCTTGGCAAACTCATCTTATCAGCTGTTTCCTTAAATTATAAAATTGAAATAGAATAATTAATTTTCTATTAAGCCCAAAAACAATTATTTTTTTAAAATCTTTATTTCAAACTGGTATAATTAAAATACAAGAGCTTCAATTATTAAAGATTCATTTATATAAAGATATTATAATATGCAATTAATGTGATAAACCATTCATCGCTTAAAAAGTTTATATATTTAAGGTATATTTATAAAAATTTAAGTGAAAACTCTTAAATCATTTATTTCTTATTTCTTGTATATTTATGTGCAGTCACTAAACAAACTTGATATATACTTAAACGAATTGCAATGATCTACCATATGAAATTAAATCTTATAGCAGTAAAGTTTAATATACTATTTACTAGATTTAAGAATGAATAAATAAATTATTCTGTTTGTATATAGAATTAAAAATTGATTAATATATGATTATGATACGATAATAACATTAGCTTAGATAAGCCTAATTTGTTGGAACCTATGATTGTACAAAACCAATATTTAATTAGAAATTCACAATAATAATTTCTGAATGACATACAATATCTTAATATTAAATTAATAATATTATAATAAATGAATACCATATTTTGTTAATTGTTAATTGTTAATTGTTTATAAAGTGAACTAATTTTTATTTAATTAATATAATTAACTATGATCCTATAAAGTCATTTGTTAAACAAAATAGCCCCTGCTATTGAAAAATAAATATCAAATTCAATGTTTAATTTTAAAATAATTTAAAAAAAAAGTAAGTTTAAATATTGCATAAGTCAGTACATTTTAAATACTTCCTAAAATTTTGTTTAATGATATTAAGTTAAATTATCATAGGTAATTCTTTTATCGCATATGCACATCAAAATAAGCAAAAACTTTCGATAACCTGCAAACAATTTGTCATTGAAAACTCAACATCTTATCTTTTCATTTCACAAGATAAGAGTCTATGTAAATATCATTTTAATCATTTGTTTCCTATGGAATAATATTTCTTTACAGTTATAAATGATTATAATTATATATATATAATTAAAAATTTTATAAACACGTTTATAGACTTAAAAATTGATTTTCAAAGATAATATTTTTGTTTTTATTTTTATTTACAAAAAAAAACTAATTAAACTATTGTATATTAAAAATATCAATTATTATTTCTTTAAAAATAAATTTTCATCTTACAGTGATGACATGTATATATGTATGGACGTATATAGATGTGTACATATACACACACACACACACACACACACACACACACACACATATATATATATATAATATAATATAAAAGAGCTGATAATTTGACATTAATTTTTAAGAAAAAAAGCTAATAACAATACGTTTTCGCGCTTCTATTTTTTAATATGGACATATACATACAGAGCATTAGCGCACGCGCGCGCGCGTACACACGTGCACACACATGGATAAATATATTACAGTTCAAAAAAGTTTCAGGGAGACCAAAAATCTTCAAAAGTACAAAAATTAAATCTTTTGTACCTTGTAATAATGCAACAAAGAACAATACAAAGATAAAAGTCTAAAGGAGAAAATACACGTGTCAGCAAAAGAGTAAGGCAAGATGTAGACACGGTGTGGCCCTCTATTTCTAAACTTCCAGAATTCAAGTCGCAGGCACTCAACAATTGACGACTAATAAATTATGACTAAAACGTTAATGTTATAATAAACGCGAGTATATGTGCAATGTTTTCGGCTAAGAAAATTTGCTTATAAAGATAGCGCGGGACGATGCTTGTAAAATTTCCAGCGGTATGCGTTGTATTAACAAGTTTAATTTGGGCAAAAGGTATTTGGGATCGGGCTCGTGTTCGCTCTCTTTCTTTCTTTTTCTTTCTCTCTCTCTCGATTCCATATATGTGTATATCCTCTACCTATTCTGATGCTGGTATAGTAAACTAAAGGTTTGCAAGAGATTTTACTTTTGTGATTCACTGAAACGCGCCAAAATGACAAAACGACAAATTAGCGATAAAATTATAAATGTTCGAGATAAATGATGTTAAGGCTAATTAGAAACGCATCGGTCGGTGAAAAATAATAAGTTTAGAAACGGAATTCAATTAAAATCAAGGATTATCGGCCAACGTAACAGAAACAACAGGCAATTTAACTAGAAAGTTCTCGTTTAATAATTTAATTTTTTATCAGAGCCTAAGACTTTCGAATTGCCAACCAATAAAAATTCTTTTTTTTTTCTTAAAAGCCGAAAAGTAAGTGCGCGACGAGCACAGAGGGCGAGGAATCGAAGTGAGAAAAATGAAGGGAACGAGCCTCGAGTTAAAGCTCTTAACAAACGAGGCCCTTCTAAAAAAAAAACCAGAAAATGGCAAAGGAAGGTACGCCCGCCGCTGTCGCCATTACGTTAGCCTTGAGTAATTGCACGCATGTTGAGATGCTCGCGGTACGCTCGGGCAGTGGCTCTCCATTCGAATTTTAAACCCTGAATATTTCCTATACGGTAATAGAAGTTCGCTCGCACCGGCCCGACCGCGTGCAATGTCGCCGAGACATTGGGCGAATTGGAATTTATCGCGATCGCCTTCGACAAGTCTTTGGATAATATGTACGACGACTCCCGATCGCAAAGAAGCACACTGTAGTTGTCTCTTACCTTTCCTTTTTATCTCTACTAAACGTCAAATGAATCACTGTGAACTCGGCAACGGCTTGATAAAAAGTGCGCAAACTGCGAATGGCGGACTACAGAGGTCCCAACTCCTGTGCTCGTCTCGCTTACCTTACTTCCTCCGAAAAATACCGCCCAACCTTCCCTCTATGATGTGAAAAAAGCGTCTTGTACAAAACTAAGCCACGCCTACCCAATGAAGCTCGCGTCACCTGAATGTCAAACTGCCATTGGTGCCGTGGTCCCGACCGATTTTGGCGCCAATTCTCCGCTGCTGACAAATGTCTACGAGAAAAATTTAACAGTACAAGGATCCACGGCATTTAATCTTTTTTAATACAACCGATGCTCTCGACTTTCTTAGCCAGTGAATATAAAAAGCCACGGGCTGACCTCGATTGATTCACGTTTTATCATACATATTTTTCCCTACGATAATGCTACTTAACTCTAAATTTACGTTATCCTCTTGCGCTTGTACATAACGAGTACTTCATCGATCCCTAACATAAAAAATAACTCTTTTACTCCCTAATACTTCCCATACAATTATTTATAAATGTATTGTTGTTATTGTTATTGTTGTTGTCGTCGTTATTATAAAGAAAACACAATATCAGATTTAAACTGTATTAATTTAAACTAAAATTAATATTGATTTACTAACAAAATGCTTGTTTTACAAAATTTTTAATTTTGTAAATTATATGATATAAAAAGAACTTACAACATCAGCTTATTATTATAAGCTTTTTTTTTTAAATAAGTTGTATTTAGTCAAATATAATAGTTGGCAATAATAAATTTCTAACTCCTCTTTCATAAAATTAATTATATTTTTACATAAACGTAATTATATTATTATATAATAGACTTTGTACAATTTCGTTAAAGCAAAATTTTTTTAAAAACACATTCGCCTGAAAATTATGATCATATGCAAGAAATCAAGAAATGTGAAGAAATTAAAATTATAATTCCTAATATGTTTTATTACTTACAAGAATTTACATCAGGAATCTTTAAAATAAATACATCAGTCCTATCTGTAATAATTTACTTACTGGAAAGTATAATTAATAATTACTAATTATTCGACTTATCGTTTAAAACTTGTATAATTTCTTTAGTAAACAGATTTTTTTATTCATATACCGCAGAATTGTAATAATACAATTTATCGAATATCCTGTTTACATGAATTTAATAAGTTTTATAAACTTCGTTATAAAAAAATCATTTTAATAATTATAATTAATTATATTTCTAAACTGTAAATAAACCATAAATAATATTAAATTTAAAAGATGAAGATTCTACGAAGGTTAAAAATAGTTTTGTATATAATTTTCGAAAGAAAACAAATATAATAGCCCGTTTTTAATTGAAATATTTTGAATATAAAGTGCATATTCGACATAGATAAGAGACATTCACTAAGGTAGGAAATCTTGTAATAGACTTGACGGCAAATTTAAAATATTTAATTTGTAACGATGTTAAGTAAAAATCTGTAATTATTAATTAATAAATAAAATTCATTGTGTAAACAAATTTAACTGAATAATTGAATTTTTTAATATTTTAACGTATTCTTAAACTATTGTAAAATTGAGAAATTATATGGAAATACATCAAATTACAATGATCATAATATTAAAATGTAAAATGATAAAATTGTCTACTAGTTATTTTTTCTCTCCATGTGTCCTTTTAGTACAGATTTGTTTATAAAAATTATTATGACTAAAAAATATTCAATTACAGTCATTTAAAAAATTAACCAAGATTAATTATATATAGCCTGTAAATTAAAATAAAATTAACGCACATTACTTTACCCAAGCATATTTATTAATATTAATAAAATAGTTTCTAGATGAAATTTAATGATAATACTTTAAATCCTGATATGTTGCTTATAAACTAATATTTATCCTAGAAATATTTATAACATTTTAATTTTTCAATATAAATTTTTATATGGAATTATCTAAACATTTTTTTATTTTTATACCCAAATGATAATTAAAATGATTTCATAGCTTTTATTAAATTATATAATGTTATATACATAAATTTAATAACAAATTTATATAAAATAAAAATAATAATAAAAAGAAATAGTGTATAGAGTTGAATTTTTATGTACATATACGTTCAAATCCACTTTACCTTATTATCTAAATTTTTATAAACTTATATTTAATAACTTTTAACGATAACTTTAAAGATAATTATCAATTATGTTATTGAGGGTAGTGAATTCAATATCTCATTAATATCTTTTTTTGTTTCATTAATTTGATTAAACTCTGTATCATTAAACTCACACGAACACAAGTTAATTTTATTATTATTTTAGACGATAAAAATCCAGTTATTAAAAAATATAATATATATTAATATTCAAATTTTGAAAATCAAATATATATGTATAACTAAATTAAGCAAAATACTAATATTGACAATAAATACAAAAAATTGGATAAATGTATTATAAATTTGAGCATACTTATTAATATACTTTTTGTTATATTTTACTGCATCATTTATAAAACATTATAATGTACACATAAACAAATTGTACATTTTATTTATATTTTAGAATTAAAACAAACTCAAATTGCTTAATAAATAACTTTATATAAAATGTGAAATTATTGCCGGTATTTGTAAGTTTAAAAAATATTTTGAATAATAAATTGATTATGCTGAGTATATTGAATATAATCAATGTAAGAACTAATAAATAGCAGAAAAATAAGAATTTATATCTTCTATTAAGTAGGTGTCATTTTTATAGATGAATTCATTGAAAATTCAATGGAACTATAAAATATTTAATATAAGTTCTAACAATGATAGTTTGAAAGATTATTAAAAAAATATGTTCCATAAAAAATAACTATGCAACATTCATGTATCAGAAATAATTATATATTCTAGAAAGAAAAACTTAAAATTATTTGATATTGCATGAATATAATTTCATGTTATATGAAAAATTTTTAATTTTATTTCGATTTCGTTCTGTATTGACTTCGCGAGTTTCAATTTATATTTTCAATTAATGCCATAAAAATAGAGTAGAAAATGAAAAAAAATTATGAAACATTATTTGTATGTACAATTTATATTTTAAGAAAAATACCAGATTTTAAACTATATAAAATATTAGGAAAAAATATATATCAAATTGAAAGTATTAATGAAAAAAATTTATTTACAATGCCATAAATATTCTACCAACTATTGTTTTTAATACTACTAGTTCATCTATAACATTATCTTTAACTAAGGCATACACATCATAAATGTTGTGTATATAAAAATTCATTTAGAAAAATCAATTAACATTATTTTATATGTTAGAGAATCAAATAGAATATTTTAAAAAGCATAAAATTATGTATCGGTTACACATATAAAAATAAAATTTTCATTGATTTCCAAATTAGTATAGTGTACTAAATACTTGTACTTAATACTGGTCATTAATGGTTGGTAGTTTTCATTTTTACGCAATTATGTTTGTTTAAAAAATTATATTAAAATTCTTTAAAAGATCTAAAATATAAAAAATTATAAAGATGTAAGAATAAATATAATATTACTACAAATTCGCCGCTGTAATCTAAAAATTTAAAAATCTTTCTAAACTTAATTTAATAAACTGTACTTCTTTTAATCAAGTAGCATGGGAATTGTAATTTTTCCAAGAAAAATCGATCTTTTTGAAAGAAAAAATTAAGTTCTTAAACGTAAATATAAAATTTATTTTATTGTTGGTTTTAAAATTATACAATTTATTTCGATATTAAATTAATTGAATAATTGATTTTACAATCTTCTCTTTATATCTAGAAAAACTCGACAATGCAAATAAAATTGAAGAACTATTTATATTTCTCTTTATATTAAACTTTTAATTCCATATTGTTATAAATTATGCTTACAACTGTATCTCCAATTATAAAATATTGAAGTTACGTATCGTTTTAGACGATTCATAATCTTTAAAAGTTAATACACCTTCAAAGAAGTTAAAATGGATGATTGCATACACAAATATTCATTAAAAAAGCCTAATAAAATACAATTTGCTTTTTGAAAATACTAATGAGAAATTCATTGAAATTTTTATTGATTAAACATACGCAAGCATACAATGTTTTCATATGAGTATATATATATATTTGTATTTAACTTTAAAGAATTATTCAAATGCACTAGTGTGTATGAAAATAAATGATATTACAACAATGTAAAAAGCTGATTAAGATAAAAGCAATTTTAATAAATTTCAAAATTAAAAGAACAAAATTATATTGACAGAAATGTATATTATACTTTTAAATTAATTATTTTGTGCTGGTGGCTTAGACCAATCTACACTCAAAATTAAGTAATCATATCCATGTCCATGCAAACCATTAATTGCTCTAGCAGCATCTTCTTTAGTTTTGTAATGCACATAAGCAAATCCTTTACAAACATTTGTATTTTTTTCTTTTGCCAAATAAAACTTATGAATTGCGCCAAACTTCTTAACTAATTCTTCTAAATCTGTATCTGTTGTATTTTCTGATAAATTGGATATTCTAATAGCTGTTGTATCGTCTCTACGCTGCATTAGCATCGAGTCACCACGTTTATTACCTCCATCACGCATACTAGGAGGAATATATTTGCTGCCTTGTGGCTTATTCATATCACCCATACCAGGAACTCCCGCAGTTGGATTAATTGATAGTTTCTTATCATCTGGAACTTTATTCATTTAGATATTAATACATAATACTTTTTAATATATTGAAATACAAAAAACATTAAATACATTTATTTAATAATTAAATAATTAAATTATTTATGAAACTGATATTAGATAAATTCATATTTTTCAAATTAATTATCTTAATAAATTCACTTATTTATATTTGCTATTCAAATTTACTAATTGATACTAGTTAAAAATGAACTTTCACATATTTTTCCATATATATACTTACGGCCTCCAAGAACTGTATCTTTGAATGGACACTTTGATGTCCAATGCTCTCCATTACAATTACGACACTTAACAACTCCTTTATCTCCCATACTTTTCAATTTATCCAGTGAATCTTCTTCCACTTTATTTTCTTCTTCTTTACTAGAAAGAAATTGCATAAATACGTCCTCAGCAATAACTGTTGTTGCTGGATTAGGGCCAGGACCATCATCCAATGAATCTCCATATTTGGACCAATTTTTCCGAACAGCAATTGTTTTAGAAACTGTACGGCGTTCAATTTTATATGTGCGAACAACTTTAACCTTTTTATTGTCATCATTCAACTTATATTCTGTCATTATTTTGAAGTCATTTTCATACACAACAGTGGGAGGAGGAAGTGTTATTGATCCCTCATCTTCAACCTCATCTGCCCAACTTTTTGTGATTTCATAATTTGCTGGCATCTAAAATTAATTATATATCATAAAATTTATAATTAAACATATTATATAATCAATCATTTTTATTTATAAAGCAAAATTCAAATAAAAATTTTATTTACTGTAATAAATTATATTAATTTGATGGGCCATAGGTTATAAATCACATCAAAATAAAAATAAAACATATACATCGATATATCTTAAAACTCTAGTTTCTCAATAGATTTCACAATAAAAAAAAAAAAAAAAATAAAAAAAATTAATCTACCTTTTTGCTTAAGAAATTTTAACATTAATTTACAAAATACTTTTGAATAATTATATATAAACGTTCAATACGTATTCTTACTTTTCAGTAAATTCTATACACCTGTGCAGTTTCTTAATTTAAAATTAAATATAATTAAAAAAGTAATAGGTAAATTTATAACTCAATGAAATATATTCTAATTTCTCTTGATATTATAAATAAAGTTATTTGAACAGGGTTCGGTAAAATATATCGTATTAAAGTTACAAATCCCCCATATTTGATGAAATCTCATTAATTATTATTTTATCTGACCACATGTGTAAAAATTAATCTTTTTTTAAAATATATTAATATTATTACGTAGATTGCGTATGAAATGCTCATTAATAATAATCAATAAATTTGTTTGTGCATATAATGAGCAAATCGTTATAAAATATTGAAAAAATATTATTTTATTTACAATTTTACAAATATTCAAAATTATTAATAAATTTATAGATCTTTTTTAATGCGTTACATAATTTTTTCTTAATTCTAAATCTTTTTAAAGATATTAAGAAAGTAACGTAATTAAATTTCCATTTCCATTTAATCAAATTAAAATTCAAACAAATTTACTTTCATACAAAATGGTGAATTAACATAAATCGCATTTAATTAAAGATAAACATTCAAATTATAAAAACGAAAACATTTATTTTTTAATGGTTATAACCAAATTGAAAATAATTAAAACAATTTATTGAAGTGTACTAACAAATTTTTTATCAAATTTTAAACAAATTTATAAATATACATTTACATTAAGGTATTCAAAATGTATTGATTTTAACTATATTAAATATATCTGAATTGTTCAATATATTATACACGTTGTATCAAAAAAAAAAAAAATAAATAAAAAAAAAATTAATTAATTGGCACTTTAATAATATATCGGCATGTATTCTGCAATATTACTATCTCCTAATTTGTAACAGAAGATCTGTTTATTAATTCGAAAAGAACGCTGTATTTAAAACGAAATATAAAATATATTGTAAAATGAATAAGATAACTTTTTTCAAATTATCCGAGAATCTAGATTATGGTAAATATTTAAGATGCTTAAAAAGAAAGCATATCCATAGCATTTTACTTTTGGAGTGTAAAAAAAAATTCACTACCTGTAATAATTACTTTTGTAATCTAATTAAGTTTCGAACCAATATCGCAGAGTTGTAATAGTTATTTTAAAAGGTATAAAAATAATTTTCACTGCAATAGTATTAATCATACTTCTTAAAGTTTTAAAAATATTCATTACTTAAACTTTTATTAAGGATAAGATGGACAAAATTAAATAAGACTTTATTTTCGCAATGTCTCTCTTTTTACTGTATATAATCTATTATAAAATTATGGCAATAGAATTGTCTTAAAAAAATGTTATTTTATAGCACACTATGGATTAATATTAAACTTTTTATAGTAATTACATTAAGAAACAATTTCAATCTGTGTAATGATAAATGCTGTCATGCCAAATCCTCTTTTCTTAACGATAAATTACGTTTTGAAAGATCATGTATTAAAGTATTTAAAACTGATTACTGTTTTAATCGTATGGCATATTTAGTTTCGGTGTCACCTTTCGTTTCTTTCTATCGATAATATTTATTAAGCATATTTTCATCAGCAATGAAAATAGAGAGAAAAAGAAAAGATCGTTGAATTTAATTAAATTAAAATCAATTGTGTAAAGAACAGGTAATGATATCCACCGAAAAATACATACGCGCTAGAAGTCTACTAATGATTCGTATATATTTAATACGAATTATATATAAATATAATGATATATAATCTTATATATAAAATAATAATTTGTATACACATAGACGATTGTCTATTACCGTATTATATCATTTCATTGCATGATCCTTGCCAGTAAAAAAAGTGTAGTGTTGAAATTAAAGGCTTACATACTGATTGGCTACCAAAATAAAATATCGTTTATTTGTGTATCAGCAGTAGCCAATTAGCGTGCACACTTTGCTGCGCAGGACTTTTGTTTTGTAATATAATTAGTCTAGCTTCACTGGTAAATTTGAAGAATGAAAATAAACAATTGTTCACCACTTTTGCAAACAAAGCGATAATATCGGAATCATATGCAAGCATTTACGTTTATTGTTGTTATTTACTCTTCTCAGTGAAAAAGAAGATAAGAACTATTGAAATGAATTGTTTCTTTGTCATTCGAGGAATTTAACTACAGTAATCATATATTGACATCTAATTTATTTCCAGATTCGACAAAAATCTATATATATATATATATATATATATATATTTATACATTGTAAGTATAGAATTATTGTGATTTTAAATGTTCAATATGTTAAGATTTGCATACTATATTTAATTCGCCTTGTTATTTATTTATTGTTATAGTATTTATATGGCGTCTTTAAAACTATTATTATTTAAAGAGAAAAAAAAAGACTCCTATAATAATATCATTACTTTATATTAAAACATAATGCACTTATTTGTATATTTTAATATTAATTCGCTATTGTTTTTAGAAAATACAATGTGCTTATATGTAGTATTGGCTCTGTTATTATTCAACTCTGCAAATGGTTTAGTTAAATATCAACCTGAAGGTGTTCATATCGCATATGGAGGTATAATCTTATTAATACATTAACTCAAATTTAATCATTGTATTTCTTTTATTAATTTGTATATGTGCTAATTTGCATCTATATTGTATATTATATAATAAATAATTTCTATATAATGAACAATTTACTATAAAGAAATACATTGAAAATATATAAATTATATATTAATTCACGCTTTTATTATTTAATTATACTTTTTTTACAAATAAAATATTTTAGAAACAATTCATGATGTTGTTGTAACATGGAGTACAAAACAAGATACACACGAATCAATTGTTGAATATGGCATTAGTGGATTTATTTTAAGAGCTTATGGTAATTCTACTCTTTTTATCGATGGTGGATCTAAGAAACACAAACAATATATCCATAGAGTATGGTTAAAGAACCTAGCACCAAACGAAAAATATAGTATGTAAAATTAAAATTGTAATTTTTCTTATTATATTTATATATATTATTATTTTATATAATACATAATACATAATACAGTGGGTAAAATTTTATGAAAGAAAAATAATAATTATACTACATGCTCATTAATTTATTACCATAATTATTCAGCTTATCATTGTGGTAGTAATTTTGGATGGTCGGACAGCTTCTATTTTACCACTGCTCCAGATGAGTCTGAATATTGGTCTCCTAAAATTGTTATATTTGGAGATATGGGAAATGAAAATGCTCAGAGTTTACCTAGACTCCAACAAGAGGCACAAAATGGTCTTTACAATGCTGTTATTCATGTGGGAGATTTTGCTTATGATATGAATACGCTAGAGTGGGTGATGAATTTATGAAACAAATTGAAGAAATCGCTGCTTATTTACCATACATGACCGTTCCAGGAAATCACGAAGAAAAATATAATTTCAGCAATTATAGGTAAATAAAAGAATTTCTTGTAGTTTTAATTGATATTATGTAATAAAATATTTTTATAAGAGCTCGATTTACAATGCCTGGAGACTCCGAAGGATTATGGTATAGTTTTAACATGGGACCAATACATTTTGTAGCTATTGAAACTGAAGTATATTATTTCATGAATTATGGAATAAAACAACTTGTTAAACAATATGAATGGTTAGATAATGATCTAACAGAAGCAAATAAGCCTGAAAATAGGTAAACAATATTATGTGTAGCTTGTATTAATAGCTCATAATTTATAAATTATTGTAGAATTTTATGTAATTTTATATAATTTTATGTAGATTAAAAAGACCATGGATTGTTACTTTCGGTCACAGACCCATGTATTGTAGCAATTTAAATGCTGATGATTGTACAAACCATCAAACTCTAGTCAGAGTTGGACTACCCTTTATCCAATGGTTTAGTTTAGAAAATTTGTTTCTTAAACATAAAGTTGACTTAGAAATATGGGCACATGAACACAGTTATGAAAGACTGTGGCCAATTTACAATTTTACAGTGTATAATGGAAGTTACTCTGAGCCGTATAAAAATTACCGAGCTCCA